GTTAGGTATATATTGTAATGCATGAACTTAACATAGTAACAGCAACCCTGAAACCTTTTCTGGTGAGCTGGTTGAAATCTCTAGATAAAAATGTTCTGATCAAAACTACCTTTTCAGAAATACTCGTCCCAGGACGCAGTTTTTAAACTGCAGTCACAACATGGTCTTTTGTTTTCACTGGACCACTCCACTGCCTCGTGCTTTTGCCATTATTCTGCCACAATCCTCTCAGAAATGTTCCTAGTATTATCTTATTTAGAGTAGATGAAATATAGCATTTTGACCAGTTCTTTTTTTTGTTGGTACATCTTCAAGCAGTAGTCCTTGGAGAAAATAAAACTGGAGGTTCATAGGGTATGGAGAAGGGTTGAGAGAAGAGTGTTAAAGATGTTCCATTAACTGTGGGGAAAAGTGGTTTCAATTCACTTACCTGGGCCATACTCACAGTCCTTTGCATGGGATTCATTCACCACTGAGCTTTACTGGCAGGAATCCTCAAGAAAATTAAAGATGAAATCCACATGCACAAAATGAAACAGTAGCTATTTATCACATTGGAAATCGCTATCTGTCTTTAATATGCTTCAACTTTTATGTCAGCCCATTAGATTTGCCTCCTCACAGGTAATGGATCAAAGAACCTACATGCATGGTCATACCAAATTCTTTGGGAGCCAAAAGATGCTTACTTAATCTCAACGTGTTTTGTTTTATTGGCATTTATGGGTAAGGTCAGCTGAGGGCTTCTTGGCATTTTTGTTTCTAGTTTGTGGGCAGTATTATAAGGGCACAGAAGAATATTTTATTGTGGAACAGTCCACTAATTAAGGCATCTCTATTCAGGATTATACTTGAGCACATAAGACCATTCTTATTTAAAATATCACTTAAACTTAACTTTAAACACGTGCTCAAGTGTTTTTCTGTATCAGGGCAAAAGTGGATGAGATGAAAAATTCCCTTTATTTTAGGGCAGGGGCTTCAGGGCTTTTCAAATAAGTCTAGAGCTTCAGATGGGAGAGTGAAGGAGGGACAAAAAGAAGGAAAGAAAGAATGAAAGAAAGAATGAAGGAAAGAACATACAAACACACAAGGAAAATTATATACCAGCCAAAACCACAGAAATGATTCAGAAAACAACTGTGTGTTCTATTAAAGCAGATGGAGAATTGAATAAGGATTACAAACAAAACCTATGTTATTCATTAGCAATGACAGGAGACTATAGAGAACAGCAGAATAGTGACCAACCTCTTTGAACTCCTGGATCTGGGTTTGTTCAAACATAGAGAATACATTGGAACCACCTTCTATCTTCTTCTTTGCCTTTTTTGGAGCCTGTAAGAAGATCAAATATATATTACTTTTTCTGTTAAGCACCCATGAAAACAAATTCCATCTTTAACAGAAGATAAAATATATACAGATAGAGGATTGTGTTTTGTTATGACAAGGTTTTTAATTCAATCATCTGTATATATAAATGGGATAAAAAGTGCTGCTTTAGTAACGGATGAATCTCTCACTGAGGCTTTTTGCCATTCCCTTACTCTGGCCTGAAACCTGACAACTCAGATAGACAAGGACAGCTTGTCACTGTGCTGCCTTAAAAGGGGTGAGGGACCCAAAGTGTGACTGAATATCACAGCTGGTCTGCTGCTTGTTTCCCCATGGAACTGCCTGTTCCTTGGGTAGAGTCACCTATGCCAGACCATTTGGTGCAGGAGACTTCTCCTCCTTCTGCCCTGGCTTGTCAGAGCTCTGTACTGATGTAAGCTCATAGTCTCACCTGGAGATGTATGCTAAAATTCCCAACCTTCTTTTCTCAAGAAATACAAGCAGTTCAGGTAAGTGGCTACAGAAAGTTGTTCTTCCAAGTTCCCATGCAGGAACAGGCAGCCAGACTCAAAATGAGGCCCTGCATGAAGACTCAGTTCAGGAACTATAAAGGGAAATTACATCATTTCCTACTCATGTAGAAATGTTTAGAAGTCTGCTCTGTCTGGGCCAACACTGATTGAACAGATTCTTCCTATGAAGGAACACCTTCTACACTTGGAGGACAGTCTATGTTCTTGCACCAACCTCTGACACTACACTACACTGCCTTACTAGCCCATATAATTTTAATATTCAGGATAGTCATCTTAAATAAAAGGGCAGGCCTGCTTTTATCACTCATCTGTAGTCTGAAGACTGAGACAGAGAAACATTGGAGAAAGAGCTACAATGATATCTAAGAATCTAATGCTCACGAAAAATCAGTTAAAACTAGACTTCATTATATATCTTTGAATGAGGGCCCAGCCAGCTTGTCTAAGACAATACAGTTCTTGTTCTGCAGTAAAGAATCAAATCTGTGATTCCTGAGGATTACAGAAATGTTTTAACCACAGCATTATCCTTACTTGGGGCAGGATAATGAGCTACAATGCCTTTTGAGTTCCTTTCCAGGCAGATTATTTTTTTTCTTTATCATTTTTACTTTTAAACTTGATCATCACAGTCCCACCTGGTTCTTATGTCACGGAAAATTAGTCTTACTTAGTTTGGGCTATTCTGCATGAAACAGAAGGCAACTTCTACTGTCTCTTTTCATCAAAATACAAAAGCTTGTGAAAGTTCTAATTCAATACTGATTTCAAGTACCCTGAGGACCAGAGCAGCTCAAGGAAATATTCCCGCTTGACTCTATTTGAAGTATACATTGTCTGATCAATTTAAATTGCCATTGCTATAGAAGACATTCACCCACTTCAGACCTGTCAAGTTCCAATCGGCTAATGCAAAGCACTAAAATCTGGAAAAAGGAATGGAAATTAAAAGCAAATTGTATTTGTAGTTAGGATAAAAATAAGGATAGAATGCCATCACAGGCATGGAAAAAAAGGTGAATAAGTGGAATGTTTAATGAATGTAGAAATATTGATTTTGGAATAAACAGATTCCCTCCTCCTCCTACACATGAAATAAGTGTTATTTTGTGCAGTAATGGGCAATCTTCCATGTAACGTGAGGTGCCTGGTGGAGGTTTTCAACACTTCCAGATCGAATGGAAATATTAAGAACAATCCTACATATTTACATGTATTTGTTCCCTGAGGTAAAAAGAAAGCAGGTGTTACCCAGAGGAATGTATGGGGGAACTGACCACAGAGCACAAGGCTGGCCTCAGTGTTTTTGGATTGGGTAGTAGAACTGGTTTTTCTGTGCTCATGTAGCTGGTCTTTATGCAGACAAACCATGCTTTATCATTCTCATGCTCTCCTGTGACCAAATACAGCATCCATATTCAGCATGATAAATATTCCCCATGCTAGCAAATAATCTGCATCTTTTTAAGCTAGCATCACAATAAAGGACAGTGGGCTCCAGCTCCAGGTTTTCTTAACTTTAAATGCCAAACACTGGCAATACGTCCATTATTCATCAGTTTAATGGATCCTCTGTGCTGTAAGGCTTTAAACAAGGATTGTAGTTATAAGGAAATATCAGATAAATCCAAAAGCTGTGGCTCAGTATCTACTAGAAACAGACCAACGACACAAAAAACACCCAAAAGTTTCTTTACATTAGTGAAGTCCTATTGAAGGCAAAAAAGACTGAAGACTGGTTATCCAGCGAACAACCACTGTACCAGGAGAAATTAATCCCAGCATGGTATTTGTTCAATGTTACTCTATGGTTAGTCATCTCCAGGGATGATAAAGGAGATAAGTGCCCATGTGGCTCAATCTATCTTTACTTTTTCTGCTGAAGCTCTGGCTGTGAATCCTATTTATGATCTTCTCACTTGTGGAATGGGGCTGAGACCATCAATACATTTCACAGGGGCCAATGAACAGCTGTTGGATGGAAATGGCTTTCCATCACCAGTTTCATGCTAAGTCTTTTGGCATCAGAAGTACAGAGCATCTTGGTTTATCAGTCTCTTGTTTTTTGTGTACACAGTATTTGGAAGGTAATTTATCTGCTCTGAAAGGATAGGAAATTCATAATCACAGAAAGAAACTGCACCTTGATTTTGCATGACTGGTGGATAGGCAGGCGCTATGAAGAGGAAGGCTGAGAGATAAGTAGGTGGAGCAGGAACAGAATACAGTACATTGTCACTGTCTTTCTGGTGGGTAAGTCAAATTAAAAGGCAGCTCCAGAAGAACAGAAATAGGTCTGTGTTGCTGTCTGACAACTCCACACACCCCAGAATTTTTTGATGAATAGAATCAGGATTCTTACTCTGGAGTATATCTCTGAAAGAATGGCATAGTAAAAAAAGCAACACAGAACTGAGCAAACATATGGTTTCTAAACTGTCAAGGATTTAGTAGGTGACCTACAGAGAAGCAAGTGGGTGACTGACACATCACTTCTGTCTGCCTTGATTTCCCCATTTGTAAAATACAAAGTGTGCGGAGCTGCACTTTGCAAAGATAGCAGCTCTATCTTTGCAACATGTGCTTTGAGACTGACATACAAAACATGCCAGATGAGAAACTGAAGAGCTGAAGGTCCCCTGGGCTCAGATTCCGAGGCCTCAATAGCACAGCAGTGGGAAGAATGTTGCAACAACTGAACAAGCCTATTAATATTCCTGCCTGAGTGTATTAATCATCCCATTGTGAAGAAAACAACACTTCACTTTAGAAGAGAAACCGCAGGCTTGTTGCATATCACTCATTTGTCTTAGTGGTGTTAGCAATCTTTCAATTAGCCTGGATTTTAAAGGGTCTTTTTTATCCTTTTTTGTTGTTGTTTTTCTGGTTTTGTTTAGAAGCTTTAACTGAAAAATGGAGCCATACCAAAATCTGGTCCCAAGAAAACACTGTTGAACTAGGCATTTGCTTTGAGCTGAATTTCTCTCACTGAGGTTCTTTATATTTCTCCTGTCTGGCAGTGTCAGGGAGCCAGAGAGAACAAGGGTAGTGCAGTGACACAGGCAGACGGAAACAATGAGTGTGCGCTGCCTTTGCTCTCTGTATATAAGAATATTCATTTTTTTTATATGTTGCAGAGGAGGTTGATGTTCAAGTGAATTAGAGTGAAGAAATCTCTGATTTCAGGGTGACCTAACAGAAAAGGGGGCAGGGAATCAGTTTATATGTCTACATGCAAAGGAGGAAGGAGCTGAAAAGATTTCGTTCTTACTTCAGGACAGGTGGTGTTGTTTACCCTGATAAATTCATAAAAGGCTGATGCTAGAATAGGATCATGACACCAGAGATACCAAGGAAGTGACACTGGATTGTTGCAGAACCTTATAATCTCAGCCACTTCAATGAATTTCTCAGACAACCCAGAAAAGTATGGTAAAACAGACAAGCTGCTGCAAGACAAACAAAGGTAAAGCTCCGTAGGTGGGAGTACTCTGCACCAGCTGCTCAGATGCACACTTCTACCCTTCAGTAAGTACAAAGTAACCAACCTGTACTTAGTGTCTTCTGCAGAGCAAGAATGTCTCCACAGGCAATCAGGCAAAAAGGGCAGCACTGCCAGAAGCCAGATTTTTGGTTCGTTTGGGGGTTTCCTGTTTGATCCACCATGCCTTAAATCAGAAAATACTCTAAATAACTAAAGATGACACAGTTAGATAGTTCTGACAGCCAAAGTTAAAACACAAGCAGAAGAACTTCCCTAATCAGCAACTTAATGTGTCGTCTTTTAATTCTTTTACCAAAGAATACACCAGTGGAGAAGCAGGTCTCCTGGGAGTCCTTCGGAGAAAAGCAGTGGTGTACACTATTAAGAGCCTGATTCTGTTGCCTTGTACCCTTATGTGTTCATTCAGCCCAAGGCAAACTAGACATAAGATGCTACCAGCTTTAAATTGCATTTTTTCACATTTTATACTTCCTTCCTCTGCAACTATGTCCATGACTACGGGAAAGACAGAATCATCCATCATCTCACTCAGATTCTGTCCCCTACTGTGATCCACAGGATGATGTTAACTCTGAGTTACTATTACTTTTTCATCCATCACACTCTCTCCTTGGTTTTCATCCACTCTGGGATCTCAGTGCTGACATTTCCTGTCTGAATTTTTGTTATCATTGAATCCAGCTTCTGAATCGACAGTTACATCTCAGGTGCATCCAAGGGATTTTCGCAGCACCGGGCAGGATTTTTGTTGATTATTATCTCACAAGTTTGCCCTACTGAGATAATTTACACTGCAGATGCACCCAAGATCCTGGCTACAGACAAGCCACCCTTTCTTAGCATGGTTTAGGTCCTTTTCATGGTAGGTGAGCAGCGTAAGGCCAACCCAAGTGCATGCCTTTGAGGGAACAGTCTAGAGGAGTAAGCAACATAAACTGCTCTAAGGGCACGATTTGCATTTCAAACAGGCAACAGCCTCAGATCATTCAAATAAAACCTCACGTTATCAGAACTGAGAAACAGAAGATCTTTTTATTAACTACTCTGCACTCACAAACAGATCCCTCCCTTCTCATCCTCACTCAATTTGATACGTAGTCCCAGCCTCCCACACACCTACACAGACACACACACCTTTGATCCCTACTAGATACAAAAAATCTGTTGGACTGCATCCTCCTTGTTTCACACTCCTGTACACTAAGCATTCTCCTTTGCCCCACATAAAATCCCTTCCCAATCACAGTCTCTTTTTTTTCTCTTGCATGGATATACAGAGAGAATGCATTATCTCCCCAAACTTATCTTGGAACAGCAGATAACCTCTCCAACCGCAGCCTGCTCAACCTCCGTGACCCAAAATTTGCCAGTTGCTTTTCCCACCCAACAAAATTTCTTCTCTGGCATGTACATGTAAAACTCCTTCATGTAAACAGCTGAACAGTTCCTCTCTCCCTACAGTTCTCTATGCTCACACACATACATGTACACGCACATGCATGTGCGGATGCTTATATAAACACTTCAGCAGTGAAACAACTGGCCACATTTTCAGCTTGTGAAATCAGCATTGCTCCTCTGAGGTCAGTACTTGTTTCAGTACAGGTGGTACATTCCAGACAGCTAAGCAGGCTGCAAAACATTTGATCAGAATGCAATCTATTTTTGGTTATGCAGTTCCCTTCAGCATAGAGAATTTGCTACAAGGTGTCACTCGAACTGAATAAACACAGGAATCTTTTGGGAATATGAAAAAGGCTTCCTCCTCCTTTCTTCCGCCTCTCTTCTTTCCTTCCTTCCCTTCATCAGCACAGAGCATGCGGGGAGACATCACAGACCCAACTTCACTGAAATTCCCTGGAATTAACGGAGAGCCATAGACAGTTCTCAGAACTCCATTCCACAGCACTTGTGTGGTCTGCTCTCGTTAGAAAAATTATCTCTCTGAACCCTGCCTCTCTCACTCTCATCAGCCCTGTATGTCAGAGCCTAGTAGCACTGTCTGACTTGTAATTATTTTTTACTATGCTGCTTTGTCTGCACTAATCCTTTGAAAGTAGCTTTACTGCACATCTGAAATATTATGATGCTATAAAACCTCTGTAATATTTATAAATCCCTTAAGACATCATAAAGAGAGAAAAAACCCTCCCCACAGAGTTCATCTAGCATAATTACATATACATTTCCCTCTGATTAATAAAAAATGATCACTTCCTTATGTAAAGATATTCTTCAGCTTTCTTTCATTAAGGCTATTTTTTTCTTTCCATTTTAAATCTGTTTCATGTGTCCCTGTGTAGTAAGGTACCTCAGAAGATATTTTCCCAAAACAAAAGGCACAAAGAAAAGAACCACCACAGAGAATCGTCAGTTGAACTGGGAGTGAGGAGACAGAATAGTCTCTCACTATATTTTCACATATCCTAACTTAAGCAATTTCACCACAGAATGTCCTGAAATATCTTTCAACATCAAGCAGTGTGGTGTGTTGTTGAACTAAATAGGAGGGAAGAAAACAGATAAATAAAATATTTTAAAAGAGAGGGAAAAGAAAACCTAAGACCCAGCACTTGTCCCCCACCCCACAAAAGGGCTGTCTCAGACTTTAGTAAAGCTGATTAAAGAGAAACCTGTAAATCCACAACTGAAGAGGCATAATCAGCACAGGCACTGCTCACTTCTAAAACAATGGTGAAGAACATGATTAGCAGCTTGTGTGCTCAGTGTGAAACCACTGACACTGGGATTGCACCGACTGAAAATGGAATCTAGTTTTGTGTGTGAATTTTAGAAAAGACTTAAATGTGGTTTTATCCGGCTCAGAACACCGTTTGGACCACATTCATCACGTGGTTAAATGGGATCAGGTCTGAACTAAGCTTCGAGAAAGCTTCTCAAGTACAACTCTCCCTCCAGTGTTTGCTAGAATCAAATATTCCACAGCCCCAGGGAGCCACTGGGCAGCATTATTTTAAGACAATCTGAAAAGGACCTGTGAAAAGGAGAAAAATAAGGAAAGAGAAAATCCCTAGCTTTTTCTTTTTTTAATATTGTTGTACTCATTCATCTGAATTTTCAGAAGACAAAGATAGAGCCCATCCTGCGCACTACCATTAGGCAGTTCTTCTGTACTCCTTGGAATCACATCAAGTGCACCTCTGGTGCAGAAGTTGCTTTTGGAATCCCAGAGCTAAAAGGCAACAGTGAGCAGGGCAAAGACAAGACACAGAAATCTCTGCAGTATTTCCTACTTCCCCCTGCAGTCTCAAGAGTGACACAGTTACAATTACAGAGATATCCCTTTCCCTTGCTCCCCATCACACCGTAGCAGACTGTAGCACTAATTAACACCAGCAGTGCCAGCCATTGCTGCCCTGGTGTATCAGTCTTGGAAAGAGATGCACGAGCTCTTCCCTTCAGCATGTGCATCTACATTCCCTACCTTACTCATTTGTTAAACATGTGCAGAAAAGTCCTTGGAAGTTCACACTCACTCTACAGAATATATCTTAATTCTGGATGCGATACTGTGGATGAGATTTCATAGGGTCCAGTGTGATCATTACTGCTCTGTTTGAATTGTTAGGGTCAGAAAGAAATGCAGACAGGGATAAACAGACAGACACAGGAAAGAATAAAACCTACCATACTGCTGCTGCTTCTTCCACCCCTTCTCTGCCAACTAGTCAGCCAGCAAACACAATGCCAATTGTCTCTTTATATACTGTCACCAAGGAATAAAAATATGCCTGTTCCAAGTTTAGACAATAGATGTAAGGTTGGAAAAGTGCAGTAATTGGATCCCAATACCATTCCAAGCATCTGTTCCACGCTCGGCTTTTGCTTTCACAGAAATAATGCAGTAGATAAGTAGAGTAGGCAGTTGGGATACAACTGTACAACACTCACAATAGGCTACAGCTGAAGGGGCTTTCCCATGTACTTCTAAAGAATGAACACAGGGCACACACTAAAAAGATTTTAAGTGGACATGGCATCCTGAAAAAGCAGTAGAAACACACTCCTTGAGAAAATGCAGAGGAAATCAGCAATAAATTCAGGCCACTGAGATGTCTGGTAGCTCCAGAGCCTGGTAGAGCTGCAGAAAAATGACTGACGTTCTGCACAGGTGAGTTGATAACTAGGATATACGCTGGAAAAGCGCTGCTGTGCAGGTGGTAATAAAGTGCGTCAGATCAGGTCTGTTTTTCCTGAATCCATCACATGAGCCTGAAGTCCAGGGGCCAGATCTAAACATTCTGCAAATGGATGGGGAGTCATGGACTTTGAAGCATGCAAAAAGAGATATGTAGCAATTAATATGGTGTTGAGAGCAGGAGAAAACAGAAGGCAGCATAGGAACCACAAGGGCTGAGTCTCTCAGGGAATGCTCATGGACATTAATATATACACATTCCATCCGATCCATAAATCATGTTTGGCATTATCACAATGGGCCAAAACATTAACCAGTACAAACTGGCATAATTCCATGGGCATGAAATCTAATCTGTCTGTGAGAGTATCTTTACAGGACAACTGGTGCATTAAAAGCAGCAGCAACAATAGGTTTTTTATGAACATAAAGTAGCATCTGAAACACATGTCTATATCAGTCACACTAACCTTGACTTGGAAAAGTAACCAAGCAACTGAACTTTGAGACAGATACACCTTTAAGCATCTAGTTGAACAAGGACCTTGTTCTCTCTCCAGGTCCAACCCCTTGCAGTGCTGTCATCTCTAATCTTAGACTTGACTGCAAGCTCTTCAGGGCAAGGACTGTTTTAGCTGTTGTGAAGTACCTCGAACACCTACAGGGATAATTAAGTAACAAATAAGCATAATACAATTCATCTGGCTTTAGCAAAATTGTTGTGGATACAAGTTGGAGGTTAGCCTAGCGTTCATTGTTCCGACTTTAGTGACATTATACCAATACCTAGTGTAACACAGCATAAAAATAAATCCCTCAGTCCATGTGCCTGCAACTGCCCAGTGGGTAGCAGATGGTTCACATAGTAGATTGAATTTGGTAATATGAAAAACTCAAAGTAGGGTTTTCAAGGAAAATCTTATGTGATGTCAAAAGACTTTGCACGTTCACTGGGTTAGGTCCTGATTCAGCAAAGCTGTTAAGCATCTGCTTAACTTTAAGGAAGGAATAGTCTCACTGAAATCAAGGTAATGGGTCACATACTCACATTTAAGAATAGGGCTATTTATTTTGCAGGATTAGTGCTCTAATCCTTACACGACAACCAAATGAGCAGCAGCTTTGTCACCAAGTTCACTAGGATTCCATCCTGTGAATCTTGTGTCTTTTCTTGGAAGAATACTTATCTTTTCATCCAGCCATTTCATGAGTTTGCCCTAACAGCTCTGTTAACAGATGCTTTGTACTGTTTCTTTGGGAGTTTTGTTTTCTCTTATCTAGTATATCATCAATCATCATTATTATTATCCATTTGCTCCTTAGTTTTCTAGTTTGATCTGCAGGACTTTTCCAATAGTGCATGTGTTTTCTACATTGATCTTTGCCTTTTCACAGAACTTCTATATTAAATTAATTCTTCCAAGTTGTTTTTAAAAGACACGACATGTTAGGATAAACCCCACACAATACTGTGTGTTTCTAATGCACATGTCCTGAGAGACCAGAACCCTCTCTGCTTAGTCTATAAAACAAATCCACGGAGGAATTAAGGGAGACATACATCTTGGCTTTAAAGGTCTGCTTGCTTCTGCAACTGCCTCCAAATTATAGAAAGGCTCCAGACTGGAGAGGGGAGGGAGAGAAGGGGGGAATAACATAAGGACTGAAAAAGAAAGGCTTGAATTTAATTGCCCTAAAAATTTCAATCATTCAATCTGGTAATTAGAGAGCTGGCTGATTCAGAAAGCAATTTCATTTGGAAGGAAAAAAAAAAATAAAAAAAAAAGAACACAACAAGATAATTGATGCTAAGTGAGTATTTTACCTGAAATATTAAATACCAAACTTAAGTCTGCCTCCAGGGCCCTTTCTGCTACCCCTTTTTGATCTGTCTTTCTGCTTCTTTGTATTTTCCTCTCACATGACTCAACAGAAGAGGACACTCCTTCAGAGAATGAGATTGTCACAGGAACAGGTTTATTTGAACTCTTCAGAGAAAATTAGCAACTCCCCTTGAACCACCCACTTTTCCTTAATCACCTTAAATTAATGAGGAGGTCCCTTTCTTTTCAGAGCCATGATGATTCCCTGTTCCTATCTCCCTACAGTAGTTTTCTTAGCAGCTGATTAAATTCTTGATACAGAGGACAGGTTACACAGCACTGCTCAGAAAGCCCATGGCTGAGCTTGGTCTGACTACTGGAGCCTGGTAGCAAGGTGAGTCTCAGGAAAGTTAGTCTTGTAGTCACTGTATATGGAGCTCCTACAGTTCAGGTACAGAAAAGAAAGAGCTATTTAAATAAATTAAACAGTGCAAATCCCACTGAGAATCTTCTCTCTCTGTTGAGTGGAGACATCTACACAAAACAATCAGGGCTGCTACAACTGTTAATTAAGTTCTGTACATTTGTTGTTCAGGACACTGAATCCAAACCTCCTTCTCTAACTTACCCCTCCTTCTCTGAGAATTCATAGCCACTATCTAATCTGACAAAAATTGTGTTCTCTTTTATACTTGGAGGTCACTTTATGTTACTTACAGTGTGTTGCATTATGTCAAAAGGCATAACACAACATAATGAAAAGCAGACTAACATAACTCAACCTGACATCAATGACATAATATGATGTGGCTAGTGAAAAATGCACTGTTGTCATTGTTTTGTGTTTTCATCTGATACCTACTTGTTATTGCAGCATAGGGCATTTGTTGCAGAATTTGGAGAAGGTGGTTATGGACAAAACGTGCATGATTCTGCTGTGGCTCCCATAATTTTTGCACTGAGAACACGTTATTGGCTTTTCCGGGGTTCTTCCTGATTTACTCTAGCAAGAATCAGGCTCTAAAGAAATCATCACATAAAATGCAATTACATTAGGAAAGCCATCAAGTCGGAAAATGCAGCTCCTGGGAGTAAGGAAATGACAACACTGTTATAGTCCCTGTAACCTTAGCTCTGCCCTCTTGAGTAGTAAATGAGCCTGTACTATTTTTCCTGCAGGATGTCATTTCATTTTGTAAAAGTGTGTAGCAAAGTAGCTGTTCAATATTTCTCTTAACTTCATCACATAGTCTGTGATCCCATATCTCATTTGCTGCACATCAACCAAATCCTTTTGTGGGTTAGGTACTTTTCTTCTTCCTGTTTTTATTTGCTTTTGTATTGTTCTAATAACCACAGTATATGTATATTTCAAAACCAAGGCTGAAACTGTCTTCCCAACACACCCACAAGGTTAAAACATACAGTTATCCCCTCCCTGTTCCATAGACAGAGTAGAAGCACAGAACTTTATCTTATGATAGGCCCAATGTGAAGTCCATCATAGGCAAGACTAGAATGCAAGGCAGCAGAATCCCAGCCTTTTGCATTAATTCTTTATTTTTCATTCCCTGACTACTTTATACTGCCCAGTTCCCCAGTGGAAAAAGCAGACATGAACCTTATTTGTGAAAACCTCAAACAATAATAATAAATGAAGTTGGAAACTTCTGGTGATTTTTATGAATCCCTATGCAATGGCTCTGCCTTTTTCTCCATCCAAAAGAACCAAAACAGGAGACCCAACAGTAAACAAAATAATTGAGCTGATAGATTATAATGAAATCTACTGTTATTTCTGCTGGAGTTTTATGGATGAAACAATCAAAACCCAGCTTTAGCCACTTCTCCTGTCTAACATGGGCCATAGCATTTTATGAATCTGTTGCTGTATATCAAGCCCATGTCTTCTGGTTGAGCTAGAACATATATTTAAGCATTATTATTATTATTATTATTATTATTATTATTATTATTATTACTATTATCTTATGCTGATAGTAGTTGGCCAAGCCAAGTCAAACCATGGCATCCTCAGTGACAGAATGCAGCCCTCGTTGACTAGTGGACTTGTCCTCACTGTTCTGCACTTTGTCACACCTGCAGTTTAGCACAGCCTCCACACCCACCTTGGACCGTTGGCCACACAAGAGATGTCATCTGTACATGAATGTTTTGGGAGGCACTGGAAGCAGTGGGACAGATCACAACAGTTTTGCTGCAAGACAGCATTTGATGAGAAAGTAATTAGTTTCTGCTGACAATGCCTGTTCTTTCTGACAGGAGGATACCCTGCTGAGAAGTTAGGGTTTAACAAAGCAGAAGTCAGGAATTGAGAGAGGCTAGAAAAACACTAAAGAGCTCTGGGAAAGCAGGTGAGTTTTAGATATCTGCTAACACTTTGGCCAAGCATCATCACAGAAAGACGGGCTATATTCACTTAAAACTTTCAAAGCATGGAGGAACCAATGCACCACTTGACAAATGGTTCTCCATGTCAGAAATTTTTGCCTGAATATTTGAGTCTTTTATTTTGATGAGGTCTACTATGCCTTTTTCTGTTAGGCTGAAATCTACATTTCTAAATTAATCTGATGCATTTGTAATTCCTGTTGGTACACACATACATGCATAATTTCTGAAAATGTTTGGAATATCTGTGGCATGGAGCTTCCTAAAATTTCAGGATAAACTGTTGGAACTCTTTACCTAAAATCTAACTATATCAGGATGTGCTAAAATACAAGGTTCTACCTACTCTGTCAAAAACCCAGCATAGCCAAAGCCAATTTTGTTCACAAAAAATAATATCTGAATATTGATCTAGTGGCTAAATTCATGCCAGGTATTTGTGGT